TCTCTCCTCAGTACAATCTTTCTTTGAACTCTCAGTAGATTTTCAAAAAGTTTTCTAAGCTCTCTTCAGATTAATCTTAGTAGATGCTTTGAATTCTCATTATTTTCTGATATGGCTTAGAGCGATGCTTCTCAAAATGTGGTCCCCAGGCCTACAGGAAGAGCAATAACTCCATACTTGTTGAAATACAAATTCTTGGGTTCTATTCTAGACTGGCTAATTCAGAAACTCTGTGAATGGGGTCCAGGTATCTGTGTTTTAATAAATTATCTAAGTTATTCTGATGCATGCTAAAGTTTACAATCTGCTAGCTTATAAAATACTTTATTAATAACTATGGACCACCAGAACTGTTAGAATGAGTCCAGGGGCACTCTATAACTGAGCAACATTTTTAGCCCCTTTATGTGCATGAGTGAGTGTGTGTGTGTGTGTGTGTGTGTGTGTGTGTGTGTGTGTGTTTTGTTTGAGAAAATGTCTGGCTATGTTGCTCAGGCTGACCTCAAACAAACTTGCAATTCTTCTGCTTCAAACTCCTACATAGCTTGGATTACGGGCCTGTACCACTACACCCAACTCAAAAACTGCTGCTTTATCTGTTTTTATCTTTAGGTGAACTTTGGAAGATATAAAAAAAAAAACTTTTTACCTCTTGGAAAAGTCCTTGAGTTTTTAGACTATAGTTTCAGTGAAGACTCAAGAAAATCCTAATTTCACAGAGTTGAACAATTAATTTTGTTAGGCTATATCTGTCTTTCCCTAAACCATTAAAGTCTACTGTGAGAACTTACCGGAACCATTACTTTAAAATTTTTTTTTCTCTGCTTAGTATTTTACAGAAATATCATTCTCATTGAACTATTACTACAATTGCATTCCTAGACATTTCTCCTGATTAATTATATATTTTAATCGTCTGTCTCTGCATAAGAGACTATCCCAAAATTTAGTGGCTGGGGAAAAATTGCTTGTTTCATCTGCTTATATGTCATATCTGAAATTTCTCATAAGGTTGCATTTGACAGAGATGGCAATGAGGATCAAAATACCCAAGATGGCTTTACTTACATATATATACATTAGTTAAAATAAGTCACAGAGTTAGCCCAGATCCCTGAGATGTACTGCACATTTTGATGGTAAGTCTGAACAGTCACACTGTGGAAGCCCACATAACGGTGATATATATATGAAATCATATCCAGGCTAAGTTTTCCAAATATTTTTATTAAAGTAGAAAGTGGGACTCAACATCATTGCACAAGTATAAGAGGCTGGTTTAATTGTTCCAATGTTAAAAGTCCCATTTTATTTAACATTTTATAATGCAGTGCATACAATACTAGGAATAGATATAGAAATGGAGAGAAATACTTCCCATTAAAGAACAAGAATTTGAAAATGCATCAATATAATTAAATCTAATTTAAAATTAGCTAATAAAAATATATCTATCACATTTTATGAACGTGAGAAGGAGAGGTTTAATCCCAATTGAGGGAATAAATGGAGACTTCCACTCCTTTTTAGTTTCTAGAAATCCTCAGATGACTCAACTTCACAGGATTTCTTTCAGGGAAGGAATAAGTGAGTCAGAGAGGAAATGGTGCCATCTAAGTATAGGGACATTGTTGTCATTGTTGTATTACAGAAAGTTTCACTTTCAAAAACTCTAAAAGGGCTCAGTCAAAAAAGATAAAAAGTGAAGAACAGCCTAGATTGTGTAGGTAGCTGATGCAGTCTTCCCTTCTACTCAGAAAGCTGAGGATCCGAGTTGAATGTGACAACTGACACACATTCCTCCTTAGGAACAAGCACGTCCCACACTGCATGGTATTCTAGTACTCAAAGATGAGGTTGGTTTTTCAAGAACTTTTTTTCCAAAATATAATTTAGATGCTGTATTTGGAAATTAACTAAAGTATCATATTTTCCAATAACGGAGCAAAAAACCACCCACTCTGCATTTATTACAGAATATAAGCCTCCAATTTGTAACCACTCTTGAAGACATGCAATTTACTTAGGCTCCCAGGGCCATGATATCCTTCATTTCCACACCTTTTACATGTAGAAACTAAGGTCCAAAACAGGCAAGCTCCAGAATCCTTAAGTTCTAACTCTGCTATTTTCCCCTCTATCTCTGCAATGTGTTTCTGTAAAGATTCCACAATTCTCAGTTGGTCCAAAATCCCTCTCAGTAGGGTAGCTTGGTTGCAGGTAAATCAAAAGTGTCTTCTAAAGTGTCTTCATGAATCTATTCCTCTCCAGGCAGAAAGCAGAATAGTACCCCAGAAGATTCTCTGACTTCATTCATGATATACCTAACTAAAATATAGAATAATTAGCACTGAGAGAGGGTTCTATCCACCATTTGCAGAAATACATGAACAACCCTGATCACATGCTACCTTAGGAAGGGAAGAGATACACCTGTGTGAGCATTTGTAGGTTCCATTGTTCTTATATTAAATTTGAGGAGAATAAATTATTAATATCTGAGATGCTGAATACTAATGGAATGGGAGATTCTCTAAATATTAGTACTCCCCAGTTAAATTAGAAGTCCCCCAGGCCTAGGGACACACAGTGCACACAGTTCTTTCTTCCTTTGATTTCATGCATTTTCTTGCTAACCCAATGTTATGGTTTGGATCTAGAATGTTCCCCAAAACTCATTTGTTGAATCCATGGTCCCCAAAGCAGAAAAGTTCAGAAGCGGGGCTTTTAGGTAATGATTATATCATGAAGGCTATAACCTCATCAGTGGATTAATCCATTTGACCATTGGGTAATGATTGCAGGCAGGTAAGTGGCTGCAAGAAGTATGGCAATGAGGATTTGTCTTTGGGGACGATGTCCTGTTTCTGGCTCCTCTCTCTCTGCTTCCTGGCTGCCATTAGCTGAACGGATTTTCTCCATCATGCCCTTCCACTATGATGTGTCTGCCATGAAAAGCAGCCGAAAATGAACTAAATCCTCTGATACTGACATCTTTCCTCCTCTAAATTGCTCTTGTCAGGTATTTTTTTATCAAAGACAAAAATCTGATTAACATAGCCATCGAGCTTTATACAGAATGTATAGACAGGATATTAGAAAAAAAAAACATACTATCATTCTATATAAAACTTCCATCCAATCTAAAACAATAGATTTTTAATACATTTAATTACTATTCAAGTGAAAAAAATGATTTCTTCCATAACTGGCATCCATGCAGAAGTAATTTGCCTTCTTTAAGTGGGATATTATTTTCTCCTTGAGAGCTATATACTTGGTAGATTTTGTAATTAACAAAATGGAGAATAATTGTTTTTAAATAGCCATCTAGTTCTTAGTCTTTATCTACTTAGTTCTCCTTGACAAGAAAGACCAGGATGGTTTCACTGAGATTTCAAAGCCTCACATTACTCATGCTCATTATTTAGTATCTTTCATTTACATGTTTGCTTATTGTATCCAGACATAACTCTTTCTACTAATTCAAGAACCAGGTCCTTCTCACATATTTTAATATCCTGCCAGCATCAGAAATGTGGAAGATTCTAAGATCCATCATAATCAGGAAGCCAAAGAGGAAAAAAAAAACACACACTTATCTTACTAGCAACAACTATTGTTCCTAAACCTCTGGAATAGAATTTACATGAGAAGTGACATCTGTTTTTTCCCCAAATTCTTGCTCCAACTTCCAATTTGCCATCTCCTTTTATTGTTTTAATTCATCACCACCTCAATTAACATTTGAATTTTTTTCAAGTTCTTCCCTAGGTTGGAGTATTAGTTTGCTATTGCTGCTACAAAAAATTACTAGAAATTTAGTGGCTTAATACAACACACATTTATCATCTTATAGTTCTATAGGTTAGAAGTCCCACACAGGTCTCATTGGGAAACTATCAGAGTGTTGACAAGGCTTTATTAGTTTTTGGAGGCTTGAGGAGAGAATCCCCTTTCTTGTCTCTTCCAGTTTCCAGAGGCTCCTAAGATCCCTTGGCTCTTGGTCTCTTCCTTCACCTTTAAAGGCAGCAATGTTGTATTTGTCTAGGCAGTGCTCCAAAGACTCCAAACACAGATGAGAATGTTCTCAGCTTTTAAGGGGTTACATAATTGTATACAATTGCCTAGACTGACTTGGATAATTCAGGATAATTTCTTTATCTCTATGTCCTTAATTCTAATTACTCCAGTAAAGTCTTCTTTGTTATGTAAGATAACCTGCTTTTAGGTTCTGGGACTAAAGTTTGGGCATAGTCATTATGTTGCTACCCACAATTGGTTTCTGATCATTCTCTTCCTCTTGTAGAATCCCTGGTATTCTTCTACCTTTCCACCTCCATCTCCCATTTGCCATCAGCCAACAAAGCTAGATTTTATGGTTTAGATGTGATTTGTCCCCCAAAATCTTACATATGAGACAATGAAAGCAAGTTCAGAGGAGAAATGATTGAGTTGTGAGAGTCTCAATCCAATCAGTGCATTAATCTCCCATAGGGATTAAACTGAGTGGTAACCCAAGGCAGGTAGGGTGTGGCTAGAGGAGGTGTATTCCTAGGGGCACAGCTTTGGGGTATATATTTTGTGTCTGGAGAGTGAAGTTTCTCTCTCTCTCTCTCTCTCTCTCTCTCCTTTCTGCTCACCTTGTGAGCTGCTTCCCTCCACCAGGCTCTTCCACCATGATGTCCTGCCTCACCTTGAGCCTCAAAGAATGGAGCCAACCTCTTATGGACTGAGACTTCCGAAAGCATTAGCCCCTAAATAAACTTTTTCTTTTTTACAGTTGTTCTCATTCGGTCCTTTTAGTCACAACAATGAAAAAGCTAACTAAAACATTAGATTTTCCTTTAGAAGACAGGCTTTCTTACCATTCATGTTTTATTTGAAACATATTGTTGCAGGAAGCTGACTCAAATAGAGATTTGTATATGGGAGGTTTGTTGGAAAAGCTCTTAAGAATAACACAATTTTGGGGGAGGGGGTAAGAAAAGTAAGCAGGATTAGGCTTATGTGGAAAAAGTAATTTTAATACAGTCATAACAAAGTTCTCAGTCAACCCCACCAGGAGCTTCAGGCTGGGGTAACACTTCAGAATGTCTTTCAACTGAAGTCCATCGTATGGGGGCTCCTATATCTGCTAATGCAGTGTGTTTCTGGGGAGGCTGAGTTCAAATTAACATAGAAATTCATTGATAGGAATCAGTTCCCAAGATTCCCAACAGTAAATATTATGAAGAGTGAATATTTTAGTCTTGAAGGTGAGGTTAGGCATCGGAGTCAAAAAAGGCAGAAGTCTGAGACTGAAAATAAGATGAAATATTTAGGAGCCATTAGAGCTAAAATAGTCTAGTATTTTCTATACACTTTTGTTACCCCATTCCTAATTTGATAATGCCTAGGTCACCTCAATCAATTTCAAACATACCCTAATTTTATTTATATTAGAAATAGGATTCCTATAGGCCAGAGGTTCTTCTTAAAATGGGTTAACTGAAGCCAGTTGGTTTTAAGTCAGTTACTGGAGAGACCTTCAGTCAACCTCTAAGTGCATGATAATCTCATCTGCATACTAACTGTGATGCCCTCAGTGCCCTGACAGTTGACAATTGCCAGAACCACGACAGGAATGAACCGTAAAAAGAGCAACAAAGAGGTTTGCCTGAATTACCAGAAAATCTGCCCTCCCCATTCCTAGTAAACACATGAAATTCCTCCCTTTTATTAGTCTGTACCTCCTTCAATTATTTTACCCAATATGTATAACCTCTTGACCTCAAGGGTTGAGAAGCTGGTTTGTGAGTCTATCTTCCACTTTTTGTATTCTTAACCAAGAATAAAAGTCTCCTTCACTGCTCAATCAGTGCATGGTCTTGTTATCGATTCCTCAATTCTGAGAAGGAATAAAAGCCAGCTTGAAGTAAAAAAAATTAGTAATAGTTCCACTTGCTGATGTTTGTATGCACAGGCTTATATGAGATATCAAACTTAACTGTGAGGAATGGGACAGGGTAATGATGAATCCTGTATCTTTCCCCTTCTCTCCTTGGCTTCTGATCTTTGTAGTATAATGAGGCTGGTCCATGAATATATGCATGCATTATGTATTTTGTGGCAAGCCATGACAAGTTTACATGTCGTATAAAAATGTTGTAAAATGTAATTTAATTATATATATACTTATGTGTGTATAAATATATATTATATATATGCACACAGAGAAATATACATGTATTTGTAAAGACATACATGTGGAAATCTATGTAGAGAGCTGATTCTGCTTGATAAACTTTTGTGGTCTTTTGGGGGTGATGTCCTTTCAGGTGTTTTGGGGTAACTGAAAGTCAAATATGAAGTTGCTTTGATTTAAAAAACAAGAAAGGGAAATGAAAACAAGTTCTTTGGTAAATTCTGGAGTTTGAAACAGCTCAAAAATATCATTTTCCATATGTACATTTAGAAATTTTAAATAAATTTAATAATTAAGATGGGTAAAGGGAAAATTGTTCCTAACCTGGCCTTGGACAAATCTATTAAATCACCACCCCATTCTGGGAAGAAATTAGCATCCCTAAGAAACGGCTTAAGCAATTTTCAGATAAACTTTTAATGGTGTTAAGACCTCTTCTGGGAAACCAGTATTCATTCCACTCAACTGAGTGATAGATATTTAAGAATGCACTGATCTTTTGCCAGATATTTTTTCTTCTTGTATAAAGATATCTAATGATATAGGTATATGTAGACACCATTATTTTATATATTTGTTATTTATTGTTTTCATGTATTATATATATATATATATTATATATATATATGTGTCTACATATACCTATATCATTAGATATCTTTATACAAGAAGATGTCCAATCAGTTCCATATGTCTCTGTTGGATCTGTGTGACTATAGAGCCATAATTACCAAAGTCATTCTGTGGACATTGCTTTTTCTCTAAGCTCTTGAGTTTCTGCTTCTGTTTTCTGGAAACAGTGTCATCAAACCTTATATTTCTCACTGCCCAGTAAGAATATTATCTGACTCACAGCTTATTTTGAACACTTAACTAGATAATAGTTATAAACTTTCATTGTAATGAACTTACAATTGTTTGTTGGCCGTATAAAGTCCTTGCTTAACATCTGGTTAGCCATCTTAAGTGACAGCTGCCATTTTAAGGAAATAGTTTTGCTTTCCCGCCCAGGAGCGTTTCTGAGAAAGGCTCAGCACTCACTCCCTCTTACCAATACAACTCCTAACCGCCTGCATTAGGACCCGCCCAGCTCAGATTTCTGAGCCTATCACACAAAAGTTCCAGAACTCAAGTCTGTTTTGCCTCTCTCCGCTATAAGATGGCCTTTATATGTCAGCGCTGGCAAATAAACTCTTGTGTGTATCTCTGCCTGATCTCTGTCTTTCATTTCTCCCTTACCAGTTTCTAGTTCCTCCTTTTCCCTTTAGGCTGCTTTTGGCTTATTTTATTTTTCTAATTACTAGCACCTACTGATTTCATGATAGGTCAGACACTACAATAGGCCATGGACTATTGTCTTTTTTTTTTCTTAGTACTGGGATTGTACTTGAGGCCTAGCAAGTACTAGGGAAGCACTCTACCACTGAGTTATACACACAATTCAAAATAGCTTTACAGTAGTCATTTAGATCTCTAAATGATACTATGTTACACATAATAGTTATCCCCTACTTTAGAACCAGTGTTTGGAGAGCCTGAGTAACATGTCCATGGTTACTAATACTGGTGGAATCAGAATTTGAAGTCTTATCAATAGAACTACAGGGCCAACCTCTTTAATCTCTGTTCTACATAAGCAATGACTTAATAAAAAAGGCATCCTATACCTGAGGGCTCTAGGCAACCAAGAAAGTGATGATCTGTCTAAACTGTAGCATCTAAGCCTCATAGAGGTGGCCCACTATTTCTTTCATTATCCTTTTTTTTTAAAGTTTTTGTTTCCTTATATCCACAAATGGCCATTTATTGCTATGTGGCTTTTTCATCTTTGCAGGACTATATTACTAACTATATTTGTAAGCTATTCCAAGACAGGGAATATGTTTTATATTGTTTGGGGCACCTTGGTGACATTCAACATCACTCCACACACAGTGTAGGTTCTAAGAAAGTCATTGTTAAGTAAATAAACACACACACAAAAAGGAACACTTAAAATCCCAGAGATGTTTTATAGGGGAAGGAAAGCAACCCTTTAATATTATTTATTTATTTATTTATTTATTTCTGCTAGGCACTGGGCATTTTTTTTTTCCAGTTCTATGTAGTACTAGGTATTAGTCAGGTAATACACCAGACATGCCCAAATACTTTCTTTAACTAAACCTTTCAATAACTCTTTCAATAAGCCTTTCAAGATAGGCTATATGACTATTATCTATCATTATTGTTGTGACACCAAAGAAGTTAAGGGGACTGTCAAAGAAAAGAGTATCAGGGCCAGACTACTGTGTCTGATTTCACTAGTATAAGTACAGAGCCTTTCCCTTGATCGTAGAAAGAGTACTGAACTGCTTACTATTTAAGTCATTTCTTGTCCAAATGCTGAGTATTCTCAAAGAACCCTTTAATAAAGCCCTTGTATTCCCCTACTACGCTGATTTAAGTATAACATCCTCACACTGGATCAGTGATTTGGGAAAATGTAAAATATTCCAAACTGATCTTAATGTCCTTCCAGTTCACTTTGGGTGGGTACCCTTTACCTTCCAAGTACCTTTTACCCAAGAGTCCTAAGAACTCCTTTCATCCTTCTCAAACAGGTCTACTGTAGAGCTTTAGTGACATCTCATTGTCAACCAGGCTAAAATTGAACTATCATTCCAACTGCCCAAATAAACATTCTTTCTATTCTTCTTTCATCTTGTATCTCATTTAATGTAGCACCACCCATTAATTTTCCCAATCCACATATACATTATTAACTATCTCTTTCCCTCCAGATTTCACATGAAATTAATCATCAAATTTTACTGATTCTACCTCCTAACATCCTTATATTTTGTTCATTTTCCCCATTCCTGTTATTATGTCTAATCAGTATTTTTATGCATTTATTTTGAATTAATAAAATGCATCTCTTAACAATCTCTTACAATTTTTTTTTTGTCTTGTATCATATCCTTTTTTCGTCAGCTTTCTCATTGCTGTGACTAAAAGACCTGACAAGAGCAATTTTAGAGGAGGGAAACTTATTTGGGGACTCATGATTTCAGAGGTCTCAGTCCATAGACAGGCAGCTCCATTCCTCAGGGCTCAAGGTGAGGCTGAACAACGTGGCAGAGTGTATGGCAGAGGGAAGCAGCTCACATCATGGTGATCAAGCAGGAGAGAAAGAAACTCCACTCTCCAGAACAAATATATACCGAAAGCATTGCCCCAGTTCCCACCTCCTGCAGCCACACCCTACCACTGCAGTTAATTCCATCAGGGATTAACTCACTGATTAGGATAAGGCTATAATCATTTCTCCTTCAAAACTTCTTGCATTGTCTCACACATGAGTTTTTGGGGGACAATTCACATCTAAACCATAATATTAACTTATGACTTGTCTCCATTGCAGGTAAAATTATATTTTAAAAGGCAAATGAATTCTGATTGTGTCCCTTTTTAAGGATGTCACTATTTCTAGATATTCCTGGAAAAAAATACATAGCTCACTCTGACGTCCTTTCAAGCTTCATAATTCACCATCCACCTTTTTCCAAAAACTGTGCTTCAGCAAGAATGAGTCATGTTTTCTTTTGCTTTGTGTATAGCCATGCTCTGCTTAAATATTTCTCATGCTTGTTCCCTAGTTACTTCTTTCTCATTCTTCAAGTTTCAGCCAAGTCTAAACTTGATAATGAGGTGCTTATTGATGGGAATGATCTTTATTTGCTCTACCAGGGTTATATGAGTTATCTAAAGATTCTCATGGCAAAATTAAGGTCTCCTTTTATTGTGTTTATGTAATTTTGTACTTCTCTGTTTTTACTTCTGCCCATGTATTGGTCCCTATCTACCAAGTATTGGACAGAGATCAGGAACATTGTACACATGCATAAAATATATGTTTCCTTGAAATATTAAACTAATTCATCATATTTATTATTCATTTAATGTAGAAAATCATAGATGGCTGAAACACAAAATTTTCATAGGTTCTTTATATATTAGAAGTTATATATATAAGGCCAAATATGAGCACATAATAAATCATGCTAACTAAAAGTAGAATATTATGTTTGTATGAACTTGACTGGCATGAGAACTTAATAAGATTAATAAAATTGTGCAAAATGAATGCAGAAATAGTTCATAAAATTCATATTTATAAAATTCTTATATGATGTAATACTACATGTTTTACTTCTAAATTTCTAGTTCCTTTTAGAACACAGCTTACTGTTCTATTGGATGAACTTTGGGGTCAATTTGATTAATTTAAGCAAGTGGAAAACTGAAATTTAGATTAAAAAAGGCAATGTTAAAGTCAAAGATAACAGAGAAAGAAATCTAAAACAGTGCCATTGGTGTGAGGGAATATAAATGCTCAGCCAGAATAAGAAGTTCAAATGTTTTATGAAGCATGTGTCTGTCATGGCATTTGCATCTTTTCTAAAAAAAACCCACAAAAATCATGTAGATTCACTGAATTTTATATTGACCAGGTGAGTGTGAGTATTCTAAAAGAGTCTTCAGGTGGGTAACAAGTTTCAATGTTGTTTTGGCTAGGTAAGCAATAGAGATTTTTAAATGTCTCCCCCACCACCTCTTTTTGGCTTTCTTGTGTTGTCTTTATCACACAACAAACTTTCACTCAATATTGGCGACACATTTTATTTACATGCCCTGAAACCTTCACAAATGACTCAGTTATAGATAAGTAATTCATGCTTTTTTATTCTTCAATTTTATTACCTAAACTTACCCTTCTAAGCATCATTTTATGTTTCTAGTTAAATATAAGTGAAAATTGATTGGAGTATTTCTCAATGGAATTTTATCTTTATTTCATCATAATTGCTTCATATTTGAATAATGACAGATGAACTGCCTCATTCAATTGCAGTTTTAAGGCTTTCAAGTCACAATAACAGCACAGGATTTAAATCCTCAAGCCATTATTATAGCAGAAAAGACATTGGGGAAAATGAAAACTTATGGTGCTATAATTTGCTAGGGGGAAAAAGAGACTGCAATGGCTAGAACATATTATTTCTTGGACAATTTCTAACTTAAGACATTATGACACAAGAGTGAGCTGGACAGTAACTTGGTGGTCCCACATTTCTAAATTACTTCTAGAACAATACTTCATAACTATTGAGCCCTAATTCACGCAGCAAGTAAATGACATGACAATTTTTTGGTTTCAGGATCAAACATTATCTCAGTGGCATTTGTAATTTTATTCAGCAACAATTCAGTCTTTTACAAATAGAGAGTTCACCAGATCTTTGTCTTTTTTCTCTCACATTTACAATAGCTGAGTATTTCTTAATACTCTAAAGTATGCATTTCAAAGTTCTGTATTTGAGTTCAGTTTTAAGTAATGAATTAAACAATATGCAAAGGCTAAAAGTAAAACACAGATCTTACATTTGCTATTTCATTACATAAAGCTGATATCTTTGTCGATGGATGATTTATACATATAGCACTTTCATTTCTATGGCTCTGTATTTCTACCAAAGTGTCATCAAAAGTTTTCAAGACCACAATATACAGTGGCATGACATACAAAGTTAAAATAGAGTAAATGAAAACTAAGAATAACTCACAGCTCATAAAATTATATACACAGGGGGAATATTTATAAAGGATTGCAATGGAAAACATGTTCATGAAAACTACTTCCATCTGATATTAGAGAAATACTCCATTTTGGTACTCAGTTTGAACCCTTCTCTCTTATCACCCTTGGCTCTATTCCACAGCTCAGGGGTCCTCACTGTGTCTTCAGTCAATTATCAAAGCATATTGAGAAAGTTGGTCAATAACTTAAAGAATGAACTTATCTGGAACAATATTCATTTTTATATATTACAAAAATTATATTGCATACCAATACTAAATTTTTGAAGATAAAAATTCCAGTTAAGATCAATTTCCAGAATAATAGCATAACATTATTCAACATTTCTCCTTTTAAGTATCATAGCCAACTACAAAGGAAGCATCCCATAGTTTGGCACAATACCTATTTCTCTAACTGCATAGAAGTTG